TGTTATGTTTGTGCCTTATATCTATGAAGAATACTTAGAATAATAATAATATGCAAAAAAAAATTAAGAAGAAATAGTTTAATTCGGTAAAATATTAGTTTAAAAATGAATTTGTGTGCTGTTTTTCATTTTGCAAACAATTACTTAACAAACTGTACCATGTAGAAAACGTCATTAAAATCAGTTTTTGTTTGTTTTTCGGTATTTTGACTGCGGACGTGTTTGCGATAGATATATATATATATATATATAAATATATATATATATATATATATTGGCTTTTGCGAGTTCGAACCCTGCAAAGGTAACATTTTTTTAAAAATCCTTATTTCTACAAACAAGCGCGTACAAGAAGTGCATTTGGGGTTGGAATAAGAAGGTTCAGGGAATCCCCTAATCGGGAGCTCCCGGCTAGAACCTGTAACATGTTTTAAATCATTAACTAAATAAGGATGTAGCCAACATTTACTAGGTTGTAGCGATACACCGAAAAGTTTAGTAAATCTGACGTGAATATGCCTCAAAATGTGTCAATTGCCATAGACTCATTAATATTAGTTATGATAATAAATTTTGTACGCATTATCATTGCAGCAAGTTAGTATCACTTAACAACTTTTTTTTCGTTTTCGTTAAAACATTATACCAACCACATACGAGAACTTTTGATTAGATTCTCAAAGTTTAAAAAAAATGAGAAAGGGCTATCTTAGGCACGTCGAACCTTTTAATAGTGTTTTGCCAAAGAAGTACAGAGAAAATAGGTTCATTGAGTAAATCCATCAACGCGGTGGGCTTTCTACGTCCTTGTTAAATTAAGCAGATTGTTTCAAATGACGACATATGACTATTTGTTACAGTGGATATCCCCAATTTTTTTGTTCAAACAAAGGGATAAATTCAAAAAAACTCTTTTGCACAAAAATTATTTAAATTACACAGTATAAAACAATGAGGAGAAAACACAACAAACCGCAAAGAAGACATCCCATGGACACACTTTATTTACGCGGCAGCTTTAGCAGTGGATAAGCAACAAGCATGTAAGAAATTTAATATTATAATTTTAAGACGCGAACATATATGTAAAAAAACGAAAGAAGATGAAACATAGATATATGTAAGAAAACGTTAACAAATGCAACATATATATACAACTTTGCAGACGCTTTAAAAAAAGCTTGAGTGATTCTTATTTTGCAAGTGCCAAAGGCCTGCTATAATCTCTGGCCTTAACTCAAGAAGCTGAGACTATCCATTTCATCAATAATTATTTCAAAAGCATTGAGAGAGCTTCAAGCAACCAAAAATTTGGTTACGTATCGTCCGTACAGCACACAATAGCGAAAAAAAAAACACAGAAACGCAAAATAATAGCATGTTCTTAGAACAAACGCCACCTCAACCGATTGAGATTGACAGTTCATCGTGGTTCTGACAAATTACTCAATAAACAAATCGAAATGTTCCTTCTACGTACTATTCCTAAATCAGGTCTCAGGATGGAAAACAGTGGCACTGCTATGTATACAGGACCAACACACTAAAGGGTTACCCACTTTTAACGTGAAAAAGTCCATCTCTCCAAGGAATACAAGAATGTCATATGTAACATTGCTTATCAATACGGGTGCTACAAAAATAAGACAGTCATTTACATTTAAACTCGCACTGACCCCACCATTTGCTACCGCCTCTACTCGAAAGCCATAACAAAATTCACTTTCAAAAAAAAAAAAATAGATTCTTTTGTGCAATAGAATATTCGTCTATTATCAAAAAGACAATTGCATTCAAACTGTAGCTTAAATTGGTGGGGAGTTCACATAGAATAATTTAAATGATTAATAGCTACGGATGGTAGCGATAGATATAAAATAAAAGGTACTTTATATATATGTATTCTAGAAACACCATGCCAAATTGGGTGACTCTAGCTTTGAAAACATTAGAAATGTACTTAAGAAACAAGATTGTGACACAGATTCTCATGCATTGCTTGGAAACAGGACGAGTTATCGATAGCCGGAAGAAACTCGCAGGCACTAGTCTCCAGCTTTTATACGTTCTGAGATCTTTGTATTCATATATACGGAAATACATGACTAGATCAACTTAGCCATTAATGCTGATCAAAAATATATATACTCTATGGGGTCGGAGATGCTTCCTTCTGCCTGTTACATACAATTGCAAATATACATTATACCCTTTTTGCCCATTTTGAATATATTCAGGGTATAATGATCATGATGTCAAAATAATTATGCCACTATTAAATTGTTGTCTCGCCTGTCTAACTCGCTACAGATTCTCTTTCTGCTAATTAATTTAGGTAGGAACAAAAAGTCAGGAGTTTCCGTCGAGGGGATACCCTAAGCCTTCTTCTACTAAAACCAAATTCGTATTTGATTTTGCTTTAGTATTAATAACAATAAAATGAAATTAAATTAGTACCCTCAATTCGTCTCGTGCCCGTATTCGAACTACCTGACACTCCCTCTATTCTAGGCCATCTAGTCATAACAACAAATCATTCCCTAAAAACAAATAAACGAATATATTAAATTATCAAAGTGTAAGTTCAAATAATTGAACAAAAAGTAGCTAAATTGAGCACTGGTCACTGGAATACAATGGAATACTGATAATGACCACAGTCTCCGTGGTCGCAATCGTCACGGAAGTGTTATATGACACTCGCACAAGACGCAAGCTCAGCATTATACGAGTCGACTATCACCGTTGCGAGCTACCCATTAATAGTCATTCGTTTTCATAACATTATTTGTTTAACGTTTCTTGAACTGGCACAGTCGGTGCAGCCGAGTGCAAGAAATAAAATGAATTCATTACATAATCATAACGTTATTATTTGACTTGTCAGGACTGCAATAAAAAACAAGTAAGAGTTTCTTGTCGGGAGCTCCCGACTAGGGGATACCCTGAACCCTCTCCTTCCAACATCAAATGCACATATATATTCTCTATTTTAGAAGCTATATGTCAAGTTCGGTGACTCTAACTCTTATTATTTATCAAAATTGCCCAAAAAACAGGATATCGATATCGATTTTTATCGATTGCTTGGAAACGGAGTAAGTTATCAATTATCGGAAATAAACTCGATCTGCGCGGGAACTAGGAGCACCTACATATATAAAGTCTCTAGCTCTTATAGTTTCTGAGATCCTTGCGTTCATACATACGGTCGGACGGACCGACAGACAGACGGACATGACTAGATCGACTCGGGTATTGATGCTGATCAATATATATATACTTTATGGGGTCGGAGATGCTTCCTTCTGCCTGTTACATACATTTGGATTTCGCACAAATACAATATACCCTTATACCCATTTTTAATAGGTTCGGGGTATAAATACACATAATTAGTTAATTCTTGAGTAAGGTTCCTCCAGGTAGAATCCGAAACCAATTCAAAATAAAAATTAACAGAAATCCACGTGACCCGCACCTACGACCATAAATATAAAAATTCTATTATCACCAAAGCGGTAGGCTTTGCCACAGACAAATTCGAGACAATCCACTCCGACAATTACAATAAAACAACAAAATCATGTCAGTTAAAATTTTAACATTTTTTTTTTTTTTTAATCAAGCCAAGAACTTTTTGATCGCTATAGTTATTTTCTTTTGATATTAAAGACTTACTCTGTAGCCTATAGATATTAAAGGTTGCAAAAAGTTCACAATTTTTGGACGCGACACAGTTACAGGCCATTACAGGCAAAGAAACGAGTTTAAAAGGAAAATACAGGAGTTTACAAACCGAACACAAAAGAAGTTGGTAGAGTAACCTGAAAGATATGACATTGGAAGCGACAAAATGATCGATATTGTAAAGAGAGCTCCCCGAATTGAATGTGGCTATGAGTCTTGACCCAATCATAAAGTTATAAGTACATTTATAAGTATGTTCGGCAAGAAGAACGCGGGAAATAGTGTCTTCACTACAAATAGCCCCGGCGAAGTAAAAGCCATTCACTAGTTTGTTCAACCTTCTAACCTGTTGGCAATAAGATGCTTTCTAGGACAAATCTTTGACCGATTTATTATAGGGGCAAAACGGAGAATAAGTAAACAACGGTCAAAAAGGGTCACTATAACACTTGATAAAAAACAGATTCACGTCTTCGAAATATGAGCAGACATCCTGGAATCCAAAGATTTCTATGCGTCTTATAAATATGCAAAATGCTATGAACATAGGTATACTGTATGATATAGCTGACATTGTGGTACAGATTACTTTTTTTAAAACGTCTTGAGAAAATACGGCATTTATAAGTTTTACTATGCTTCCTACATTTATGTAAAATCGTATTTTCTTTGGACCACCATGTAATATAACTGCCATAGTCGGTCGGAAATGAGGTTCTTGTATTAAAATATCTTAATCATACTTGGCATTAGCTACTTTCCCGGAGAACGGGCAAAGCATTATGAAAAGGTTGGATCTGCAAGGGTATTAAGACTTCGACGTGCCGAAGATATCGTTTTATTAATTTATTACATAAATCAGAAAAAAATATCGGAAAAAAAGGTTAAGTATGTAAACATTGTAAAGAATTTAAAAGTACAATACATCTGCTATAAATTTGCTAAAGTATCAGCAGCACTAACTATGCTCCTCTTATGATTTTAATTATAAAATTTATGTGCAAAGGCTGAAAATAAATTTCCTGTATGAATTATATTTTGGTTTTCAATGCATCTTGACCAAACTAAGCATATACTGTGAAAAATTTTACCATCAATAAACTATTACATTATATGAATATCTAAAATAGGAACGATCATAGATCTAATTCTATAGCTCTTCACAACTCTCATATATGTACATAGTATGTATCTTCAAAAATCTAAGCCATATATTTGCAAGGGTATTCGGAAAATTTTGATTATAGAACTAATATAGTTGAGATGGTTATTATGATGTGTACATACATACAAATAACTTTTAAACGTACCCAAAGCTTCAAAGATTAGTTCGCCATACAAACTTATTTCTTTTGAATTACAGGTTCTAATTAGAACAGTCAACCATACATTCGCCTTATCCTGAAAATTACTTGGGAATTGGTTGAGATATTTTATAAGGAAGCGCAATCCGATCGATCGAGTTTTGGTTTTGAAAAGCAGTACAGTGATTGATTGAGACTGCGATGCCGCGCTCTGTAATAAAATCGTTTTCGCATGTCATAATTATCATCATCATAATCATAATCATTATTCTTTAAACTCACAGCTCCGTAATAATTCTGACCCAGCACATTTAGATAAACACTTTGGTAATCCTGTGCAAATGTGTTAAGCATATCACCGCCTCGAAACATTTCATAAGATACGTGCGGAATACCGATGCAAAATTGTATTGCATTTTTTTAAGCACGTGCGTCAAACTAGCAGTGGTGACCCACCGACGAGTTTTGGAACTTAGCTCCGGAGCCGGAACCACTGACTTTTAAAAGCATATAGAAAACAATATACGTTTCGTTTGGAGATATATTGTTTATTTATAGACTTCACCAAGGTCTGCATGTTTATTCTTCATAATTCTCACATATCTGCAAAACCTTTGCGCACTTTGGTGAAGGTATCTAAAAATATATAAATTATCTTGTTACGTGAATTCTTGTTTTTTTTTGGTCGCGCTGGGTGGCTCATCGGTTCTCTGGGTGTTGTCCCATCCCTGGCCCGCAGTCAGCACAAACAATATCAACAAGCTTCCTTAAGCATGTATCTTCAAGTTGGTATACCGTACATTGAGGGCCATTATCCCTGGGAAAAGATATTACGGTTCAAGTGCAAAGGTGATCTTTTACGGTCATTTTGTATGGGGCTAGCAAGGAGGATGCTGCACTGTAGTAGAAATATCTTAAAAACGTGCTGATCGATTTTTATAATTTTTTCAGAATTGGTTAGGTGAAACTATAGACTTCAATCGTGTATATGCGGTTTTTGGGGCCATTATCCCTAAACTAAGATATTTAAAGAATGGTGAAAACCTAACTTTTCAACCTCTTTGTTTACCCATATTATAAATTAAAATTCAAAAATAAATGAATGTTGATAGTAAATTATTAAATTTTTTGCAATTTTGCATTTAAATTTATTTGGTTTCGTGCTTAAAAACATAAATAAATGCATTTGAAAGTGACCGATACTTTTCCGATAACAAGTACCAAAATTCGACGCTAAGTCACCGCCGCTAATTTGACGCACATCAAAACACTATCCAAAATGAGCACAAAATCGATAACCGTCAAACAGCTGTAACCACTAACAAATGAACATCAATAACAGTTGTGCAAAAACAAAAATGTAAACAACAAAGGTGAGACCCTAATATAGATTAACAATATTACTATTCATCCACTTTACTTCTCCAGATCGGGTCGCTCTACCTCACGCGATCAGCTGATGTCGTCCCCCTCATTTTGGTCATTAGATGGCATTCATCAGTCCGTGTCGGCATTCATGCCCCTTCCCCCCATCAATGGATAATTAGTCGGACATTGTTTTCTCTATTTTAACAGGTACGTATAATTATTTTCTTCCTTATTATTATTGACAGTTAACACTATTTCTTATTACATTTATTTTTAGAATATCACCACTCGGCTTGCATCTGATGGTAAATCATCATTTGTCTTCAACAGGTGCGTATAATTATTTGACCCATTTTATCATTATTGCCAACAGGTATTAATTCCAAAAAAATTAAGTTATAGCAGAACAACAATATATATATATATATATATATATATATATATATCACGGCGACAATTGGCCATTGTTTTCGGTGACGTATTTTCTTTATTGTTGTTCTGCCATAACTTCATTTTTTTGGAATTAATACCTGTATATATATATATATATTACCACGCTTTGTGGTAGAAATTAGTTGGAATTAAGTCGCTTAAATACACTTAGCCTACATAAAGTGCTCTCTGGGGCACTAAGGGCGATGGAAATAAATGAATTCTTGTTGCTATAACACGGATAAGTATCTTTTATTTAATAACTTTAATACAACCATTTTCCGCCAATTTACCACTGTTGCGGGTGGAATTCCCCAAATCGATAAAAAAAAAATGATTCCCTTAGTTCCTATATAGAGCTTAGAATAGAATAATGAAGCAAATCGGACAAAACTTAAAACTTTACACAAAATATCTTTAAAGTGCTCTTTTTACCATAGAAGGTTTTATTATAACAAAAATGTGAAACACATCTCAAATGATTTTTATGTAGATCCTCGGAAATGAGTTTGAAGGCGAAACGTCATCCACCAAATCTTTGACCCCCATTTCCACCAACGAGGAATACATTCTTGGAAAAGTGTTAAACACCCCTCAAATGAATTCGAACAAAAAACTTTGAAATTGAATTTGAGGCCAATCGGATGGTAAACAAAAAAGTTTCATACATACGATTTTCGCGATTTTCCATACTTGTGGGTGGAATTTTCCGAAACCTCATCTTAACGTACACTTTTATCAGATAAGGTAACTACAGTGCAAATTTCAGCTTCCTAGCTCTTACGGTTTGGGCTGTGCGTTAATCACCCAGTCAGTCAGTCAGAACAAACTGTTTTATACCTAGAGCTGTATGAATCGTGTGGAACCGAAATTACTTCTTTTCTTGTTTTTTTTTTCGACAGACGCAATAACTATTGGAGACTTCCCTCCATTGTCGGAGATCATTGAAGTTTTCTTAAAAGGTAAAAACTAAAGATTGCACACATATGCGTATGTACATATAAGGCTAACAAACAAATGAAATTTAAAAATTTCAAAATCTTTTCCTGTTCAGGGATCTCAAATATGAGTCTACTTCTGCCTCTGCCTGTTGGGGCGTCATTGTTGCCGCTTCGTCTCCTAGTCGACTCTCGGTGTCAGCGACGGGGCGAAAACACGTTGGCATCGACGTGCCTTCCAGCGCGGTTGCCTCTCGCGTCGATGACGTTGGCTGGGCTACAGATGACGTGCTTGTGAGCTGGGAAAAACAGCCTGTCGTCCTCTGCATTACTCTTTGGCTGGCACTTTTAATATTATTTTTTTCCCCTTTTTATTTTGTTATGGTTCCTACCAGCCTCTGATAACTTTGAGGCTGGGCTGGGCACTAAATGTATTGATAAATTTTGGCGCACGAAATAAAATTTTACTTATTATGTTTCACCACGAAATTATACATTTGTGTATAATATTATGTGGGACGTATTATTTTTGGTGCAATTTTCCAGTTTTATAATTCCGGCCAAGCGGAGAAGCGCTAAGTACACTAAATACAATATCTATCGAGACCTGCAAGAAATATTCTGGAAGAGTTCGATTTTGTCAGCGGTCAACGGCGGGTGTGCCGTGCTCGAACGAAAATGAAAATCTTCCATTTTCATGCTGGCCACTAGTTATCGGTCTTACTTTGATAAAATAGAAGTTTAAACTTATCACTACAACAGTAGCACTCTTGTTGCATTACTAAGCAACATTTACAAATGGAACCTAAGACTTTCAAGCACACACACAGCCACACCCACACAGTTGTGATAAAATACGCAGTCGTGCACCATTAAAACAGCGGAAAGAAAATTGTATGAGAGTAACCTCAGCAATTAGGAGAACAAGTAGCGGCTGAATCCCACGGCGCAGGACGCCTGCCAGGCCACCCCAGATATTCTCGGGCCGGAGATCCTGAGCGCGGCCAAACCTCGACGCAACAGTCAAGACGTCGAAACGAGCAACCAAAGCCACAGGCGAGACCACGCTCACATCATCTAAGTTAGTCAGTTCTATAACAAGAGCTAGCCGGTATATAATGTAACCTCTTCCCATATTTGGCATGCCGTGCAAGTGTGACTCGTGACTTGCCTTCCGACCGCGTGAAGAATCCCGGCCGTGCATTTGTTAATCGGAGCTTAGCCTGCCGAACATGTGAGCAATCACGGCCGTGTATGTGTGGATCGAGGCTTAGTTTGTTGACCGCGTGAGCCATCCTGGTCATGTATATGCACTAATCTCCCTATGTCATGAAAGTAGTAGATGTCGTTGTTTATTTAAAACAACTCCTCTGCCCTCTCTAAGCCCAAAATCCTAACAAACTAACAAATTTCTTGTATATTGTAAGTCCTAGTAAGACTGGCAGTTGTGCCCCGGCGTTAGAAGTGGCGCTCGAGTAGAGGCCCAGGAGGCATTTTGGTGCGTGGGATGTTTGCGGATTAAGGCCGTGCAAGTATGCCAAAGTAAGTGTTTCAGAGGATAAGGGGAAAAAATGCATAAAATATGGGTAAAATGCAAGTCTACGGTCTAGGTAGTCGAGCATACCTTAGCAAGCGCGATGCATACCCTATGTTAGGGGATAGAGTTAACACCTGCAAAATTTAGACAACAAAAATGTGTGTAAAATCAAGTACACAAGGCGGAGGGCAGAAAGATACAGAAACGCTGTTAAGGCGTTGCGACAGCGGCTGTACAGGTGGACGAATTCAGCTCGGGCGCGGTGAAGAGTTGAATTCGTCAGTAGAGTTTGCGGAAGCTATAACGACGGATGTGTTTAATAATAAACAAGTAAGAGGTTCTAGTCGGTAGCTCCCGACATCTAATGCATATATATATTCTATTTTAGAAGCAACATATCATGTTTCGTGACTCTAGCTCTTATTATTTACCAAAATTGCCCAAAAAACAGGATATCGATATCGATTTTTATCGATTGCTTGAAAATGGAGGAAGTTATCGATTATCGGAAACAAACTCGATCTGCGCAGGCACTAGGAGCACCTACATCTAATTTCAAGTCTATGGCTCTTATATGTTCTGAGATCTTTGCGTTCATACATACGGACGGACGGACGGACAGACAGACGGACATGGCTAGATCGACTCGGCTATTGATGCTGATCAAGAATATTATACTTTATGGGGTCGGAGATGGTTCCTTCTGCCTGTTACATACATTTGGATTTTGAACAAATACAATATACCCTTATACCCATTTTTAATGGGTTCAGGCACTAACCAACCAACATATAGACTGGACATCACATAGAAACAACGTTGGCACAAAAAGTATCGGAGGCATCTGGTCCAAACTCGCGAGTAAGGGAGTAAGATATACATATGATGTATTTTTGAACCGCTTACTCTTCGGGAAAGTGCTTGGCGCACTCTTTTCCATATGATTTGTGCGATAGAACGGCAACGCTGTTAACTTTTATCTCGCTCGCACTTACTTTCAGCTCTCAATGCTCTCTCTTTATGTTTAGTGATCGTTTAAATGCGTGTGTGTGTGTGTATATGTCCGACAAGCAAAACTGCGCAAAAATACAATTTTTTCCAAATGCTGAGGCATTTCTACCCTTTTGAAGGCACGATTAATATGAAATAGAGAAAGGGTTTGCCACGTCGATGCGAAATTCTTGCATTGTAGCTCGCTATCGTTGGTAAGGGTACAAACGAAAGTGGTTCTAATTTTATAACATCATTGCTACAATTATGGTTTAATATAGTTTTTGGTAAATTCCAAGTTAAAATTATATTTTATATTCAAATCAACTACGTATGGTTGATTTGAAAATTTTGCAAAGTTTTAGTATAACTACATTCTGATGTTATTTGGTTTAATTTTTATGTTTCTTGCTATAAACTTTTTGTCTTGGGTAAAATATTTTTTATGAGCTATTTCTGTCAAAATGTTATTATTATCATCCGGGTATGGAATTATTTCGAATACCGGACTTTTTACTATTTCTCGAGGAATATGGGATATTATCAGTATTTCGTTTGTATCTGATTTAAACCAAGTGGAAGTTTTTGTATTCAACAATTTCTCAGAATTAACATGCAACAAATAGTCATGTTTTAGCAATTTCGGGTTAAAAATGTCTAATCTTGAGAGCTGCATTCCCATATAATCCTTAAATGCACAAATCGCTTCTTTCGCAGTCGTTGTCTTTACTGTGTATAGTCTAACAAATTTGGAAAATCTGTCTATCGCCGCCAATATATATTTATTAGCTCTTCCTGCATTAATTGGTCCGTAATGGTCTATATGGATCATCTCCCATGGTTTGTTTCCTTTAGGTTTGCTACTTATGTAGTAGTCCTTCACTCTTACCCGAATGCAATTCATTTTAAACAATTTCCTATATGCTTAATTGCTTTTTCCTTCATATATGGGAACCAATTAAATAACTCTTTCCATTAGCATCAATCATCTTATCTCTTCCTGCACGTCCCAACTCATCATGATATTTGTAAAGGACATGTTCTTCCATATTCGTTGGTACATACAAAACTAATCTACTATTATTTGTCTTTCTGTAAATGACCCCATTTCTCATATCAATTAGCTTATGCTTTTCTTCTTCTAACAGCTTTCTAATTTCAGCTAGCTTATCATATTTGCCTTGGCAAATAACCAAATTATCCTCAAAACTATTAGATTCAACAACTAAAATATGCTCATAACATCTGCTTAACGCATCCCCATGTTGCATTTGTTTGCTCGATTAATGCACCAATTTAAAATTCTTATTATTTTAGCTGTTACGACCATCTGGCAATCCTCGGATTTAAATCTATTTTGTTAAGCGTTAAAGTTAAACAGTTGCAATCTGTCATTATTTTAAATCCTTTTCCCGGAAGATATATACGAAATCTACGTAATGCATAAATGATAGCTAGCACTTCTAACTCAAAACTATGATATTTAGACTCAACCTGTGTTGTTCTTTGAGAAAAATGAAAAACCAGATGTAATTTCTTATCTTCTTTCTTCTTGAAATAATATCGCCCCAAATCCCAATGCACTAGCATCACAATGTAGTTCTATTTCTTCTTTGTTATATAATTACAATTGTTAGTACTGGCGCCTCTAAAAATTTGTCTTTTAACATATTGAAACACTTAAGTTCCTCTTCTCCAAACTTGATTTTCCTATATTTTTTTTAATAAATCATATAAGGGCTTAGCTTATATAAAAAAGTCAAGAATAAACCTCCTGAAGAACAAGCATAATCCTAAGAAACTTTGCACTCCCTGAATTTTGTTTGGTATTGGAAAGGATATTACCTCTTCTAATCCTTTTTCATCCGCTCTTAGGCCCTTACTATCCATTAAAAATTCGGAATATTTAACGCAGCTTTTAAAAATTCAAACTTATCTAATTTCAACTCTAGTTTGTTTTGAAGCAGTCTTACAAAAACTTCCTTCAAAGTCTCTAAGTGTTCCTTTGTGTTTCTACTTGCTGTTATAATACCATCCATATAAACAATTATTTTTTTATCTCTTATCATATCACAAAATATGTTTTTAATAAATCTTTGAAATACACGGTCGCAGTTTTCAACCCAAGGGCATCCTAAGAAATTCATATTGTCCTAAAGGGGTAACAAAAAAAGTATATTTAATAGATTGCTCATTAAAAAAAAACATTAAAATACCCATTTTTTAGGTTCAACTTTGTAAAAACTTTTTTTTCGCATAGCCTTTCTAACAAATCATCGATCAATGGTATCGGTTAGTTGTCTCTACATATATTTTTATTCAGTCTTCTAAAATCAATACATAACCTCATGTCTCCCGTTTTTTTCTTCACTAGTACTATAGGCGATGCATACTCTGAACAACTAGGCCTAATGATTCCCTCTTTAAAGTAATCGTCCCATAAGTTTTGTAACTTTTCTTTTCCATATATGATAGCCGTGTAGGTGTACAAATAAAATACTTAATAATTTTCTAATCTTATGCTTAGGTCATGCCTTATTTTTCGCTGGTTTGGCCTTATCGCCTTAACATCAGTATTCTCAAATAAATTTTCAAATTCACACTTTTATTATAACCAATGTTTTCACTTAAAATATATGTATTTTCTGTTTTACTCTCCACAACTTATTGCTAAAATATCCCTATCAAAATTCTCTTCTTACACTCCAATCTAAGTGAATTCACATTTCGCTGGAGCATTATTAAGATGATTTTTATTTTTTTCTGCATCGTTTCCTTTTCTTCCATAATCACTTTTTCAATCCCCGTTTAATTGTGACTAATTTCATTGCTAAAAATTTCCTGGTTATCAGGCTCGAACCTAACCCCACTATCACTAACTATCTCATCACTAACAGTTTCGATACTAATCACTTCATTGCTAACTATTTCATCAATAATTATTTTATTACTAACTGTCTCATCACTACCAACTTTATCACAAAGAGTTTTTATTTGTTTTTTTTCTAACTAATTCATCACTGACATTTTCGTTACCAACCATTTTATCATTAACGATTTTATCATTGAAAAATATATATTCATTTTGGTTGTATTTGGTAACTTTATCTTTTATTTCATTTTCTTCTCTCTTGTAGCTTGAAGCTGTGTTATCATTTTTATACCCTGAACCCATTAAAAATGGGTATAAGGGTATATTCTATTGGTGCAAAATCCAAATGTATGTAACAGGCAAAAGGAAGCATCTCCGACTCCATAAAGTATATATATTCTTGATCTTGTATGTATGAACAGAATGATCTCAGAACCTATAAGAGCTAGAGACTAGAGATGTAGGTGCTCCTAGTGTCTGCGCAGATCGAGTTTGTTTCCAATAATCGATAACTTACTCCGTTTCCAAGCAATCGATAAAAATCGATTTCGATATCCTGTTTTTTGGGCAATTTTGGTAAATAATAGACCTAGAGTCACCAAACTTCACATATAGCTTCTAAAATAGAATATATATGCATTTGATGTTGGAAGAAGAGGGTTCAGGGTATCCCCTAGTCGGGAGCTCTCGACTAGAACCTCTTACTTGTTAACATTATTCTGATAATCAACTTTACACACATTAAAAATTTTCAATGTTCTTAAATCAATACTCAAATCAAAAGCATCCATAAAATCTCTGCCAAGCTCAGCGTCATACCTCCTAGACTATTAATTATTAACTTTTTCTTCATATAACATAAGATTTTTCCAACATTTCTTGGTTTACTTCTATTTAAGCCTACATACGAACTCGCATCTGGTGTACGCTTAGTTCCTAATGGAGCAAACTTTTGCTTTAAAAATGAAATAAGGCTGTCAGAGTCTATGAGGCATGCTGCAATTATTGATTTCTTAAATGAGTTACTAAAATTAATTCTTAAGTATCTTACATATTTCTTTTCCACAACAGACTTCGTATTTGGACATCCTGTTATTAGGTGATCTTTTGAACCGCAAGCATAGCAAGATCCTGGATGCCGTTTAGGCTTTAAGAAATCTTTAGCCCAATGGCCCTTGACATTGCAATTGTAGCAGTGTTGTTGTTTGTCCGCTTGTGTTTCCTGTGCAGCTTGTTTTACTACAGTGTTTCGTGTCCGTTTGATTGGCCATTTTAAAGATGCAAACGCACGCCAGATTTGAGCCGGATTGGTAAAACAATGCATACTAGCTTGAATACGCAAGTTTTAGCAAGGTATGCCTCAAATAATACCCTCCATTAACTCCTCTACATCAATATTAATGTCCTGTGCCAATATTTTTTTTTCGCTAAAGTATGTGGCGAACACCTCATCTGGTTTCCAAGCCCGATCCTCAAACTTCTGGCGTAGTTCTGATTTTAAAAATCTTCCACCGAACGCCAAAACCAATTGGTTTAGCATCTAGTCAATCGGAGCAATGATGCGCAAAGGGTCTGCATGGAATCACTTCAAAGCAACACCTTTCAATTTACTGATACAAAGCAAGTGCTGTTGCATCTCAATTAGCTTGTAGATTTTGGCCACATTGGAGAATTGCAGTACCCATTTACGCACCTCACTTTCTCCAGTAAATTCTAATCAAATTTCCTTGGCCAAATTCATCGCTCCAGTTTGAATGCAAGCATTTAAATTGTCTCCGATAGCGTTGCCAATTTCGTCGATTCTTCCACCGTAGCCAACTGCAACAGCGCTGCCAGCTGCACCCGTGTGATCAGCTACACCAGCGTTACCACCTGGCGACCGTGGTCTTTCTTCAGTGTGACCATCTTCTAGCTGCAACAAATCGCCGACTTTACTTTCCTGATCCCCCTGTTGCACCCGTCGGTTTGATGGTTGTTGTTCACCGTTACTTGCAGTTCTTCCAGGAATTATTTTAGACTACCTCACATTTCATCTCCATAGCCTTTATTCTTATCGATACTACATTTATTTCCTTATCGATATATACTTATGATGCTGTTATTCTTAACATAGATAGCGACACTTTAATAACATAGCTAAGGCTACACATGATGATCCTATCATATAACAGATTTATTGGCTCGTTAGCTCACTAGCGAACCGGCACTTTATGTTCGAGCGTCAGGGTGAGTTCTTGAGTATCAAAGAAAAGTAAAAAAGGAGACTTAGTGTGTGCAGCGGAGCGCTAGGGCTCCGAACAGTGCGGCAGGGCTTTAGCTTAGGGAAATCATGTAGGGTAGCTCGTAGTATGTAAATAACATTAAAATGAAGATAGTTAAGAAAATCGATTAGTTCGTTTAATTTCCTATTAATCCTAACCTCGGAACAAGAGTTAGCCGGTGTTTAATATAACCTCTTGACATAATCTGGCGTGCCTAACATGTGTGAATCGTGACCTGCCTGCCAATCCCGGTCATGTGTATGCACTTATCTCCCTATCCTATGATGAAAGTATTATAAGTCGTAGTTTGTTTGAAGTACTTCCTCTGCCCTCTTTAAAACCAACATCCCCGCAAACTAACAAATTTCTTGTATATTGCTAGTCCTAGTAAGACTGACAGCTGTACCCCGTCCAGTAGCTGCCTTACAAGTGGCGCTCGAGTAGGGGCCCAGGAGGCATTTTGGTGCGTGGCATGTTTGCGGATTAAAGCCCTGCAAGTATGCCAAAGTAAGTGTTTCAGAGGATGAGGGGAAAATAATACATCATATATGGCATATATAGCAAGAGCATTTCATACTCTATATTAGGCGATAGAATTAACACCTGCAAAATTTAGGCAACAAAAATGTGTTTAAAAACGAGCACACAAAGCGGAGGGCAGAAAGATAACGAAAGGCTGTTAAGACGTTGCGACAGCGGCTGTACAGTTGGACGAATTTAGCTCGGGCGCGGTGAAGAGTAGAATTCGTCAGCAGAGTTGGCGAAAGCTATGACAACGGATGTGCTTAATAAAAAAAAGGAGAGAACAATAAAAACAGACAAGTACAAAAACAGTTAAATGGATGAGGATTAAATGTAAAAAAACCATCAAGTGAATTATTTTCTTAGATTTTGTTGGTGTGTACAAAAAAAAAAACATGAGAAAAGAAAATTATAAGAAACAAAGGGAAAGACAGAGACAAAGACAATAGTGAGATATGGTCAAAATTAAAACAAGTGCTTTTTATATCCTTAACCCATTTGAAGTGGGTAAAAAGGGTATTGTGTATTTGTGAAAATGTATGTAACAGACAGAAGGAAGCATTTTCGACCCCGTAAGTATATATATTCTTGATCAGCATCAATATCCGAGTTGATCTTGCCATGTCCACAATCAGAACCTATAAGAGCTAGAGACAGAAATTAGCTGTGGGTCCACCTAGTGCCTGCGCAGATCGAGTTTGTTTCCGGTATATGATAACTTGTCCCGTTCCCAAGTAATCGATAAATATCGATATCAAAATCATGTTCTTTGAGAAATTTCGGTAAATATTAAGATCTACGGTCACGAAATTAATATGTTGCTTTTAGACTAGTCCATTTATATCAAGTATCTATCATTTTATAGCTATCACTTCATCCCGCTTTTACCTCATAGCTATAAATCAAGTTAATAAAAAACTGTATGTTCTGTTATGTAACTGCGCAATTGATGGCTCGTGTGGCTGTTGAGTACAGTCGACAGCAAGTAATGCGGTCAGTTGCGTGTTTGAACCTGTCAAGGGCACCTTTTTTTTATTGGGATGGATTTTTTTGGGTGCAATGGGCATTACAATATACTGCGGTGACGGCACCGGTTGGGCCTAGTACACGAAAATAGTCGAAAGAAGACCTCAAGCGTCAAGAAGCGACAGCACCTGCTCGGCAGCAGAATGGGGAAGACACGAAGAAGGAACCGAAGGAAGGAAGGTCATGAAAAGGGAGCACCTGCTCGGCAACAGAGTAGAGAAAAGTCGAAAATCAATTTTTGTTTTCTCTTGAAGCGAACAGACGCGTTTTTTTTTGTGATATCCGTCTTGTTTTTGATTTAATAAAATACCGGTATTTTAATTATTTATATATTGTATTTGTGCGAAATCCAAATGTATGTAACAGGCAGAAGGAAGCATCTCCGACCCCATAAAGTATGTATATATTTTTGATCAGTATCAATAGCCGAGTCGATCTAGCCATGTCCGTCTGTCTGTCCGTCCGTCCGTCCGTCCGACCGTATGTATGAACGCAAGGATTTCAGAACCTGTAAGAGCTAGAGACTTGAAATTTTAGATGTAGGTGCTCCTAGTTCCCGCGCAGATCGAGTTTATTTCCGATAATCGATAACTTACTCTGTTTTCAAGCAATCGATAATCGATATCGATATCCTGTTTTTTGGGCAATTTTGGTAAATAATAAGAGCTAGAGTCACCAAACTTGACATATAGCTTCTAAAATAAAATATATATATCCATTTGATGTTGAAGGAAGAGGGTTCAGGGTATCCCCTAGTTGGGAGCTCCCGACTAGAAACTCTTACTTGTTATTCTTTAAATATTGTATACTCTTTTTAATCAGCAGCAACAGCCGAGTCGATATAGCTACGTCATTCTGTCCGTCTGTCTGTTTCTATGCGTTATGTTTTAAAGCTATCTTAATGAAACTTTGCAGAAGTCCCTCTTTCTGTTGCACGAATCACATATGTGAAAACCAGCTGAATCGGACCACCTTATCATATAGCTGCCATAGGAACGATCGGTCGAAAATTAAGTTTTTGTATGAAAAAACATTTTGTTTATCAAGATATCTTGACCAAACTCGGCACTTATTAGTTTTACTTTACTCCTCATATATATGCGAAATCCTATTAAGATCGGACCACTATATCATATAGCTGCCATAGGATCGATCGGTCGAAAATTAAGTTTTTTTATAAAAAAACATTTTGTTTTTCAAGATATCTTGACCAAACTCGGTATATATTAGTTTTACTTTATTCCTCATATATGTGCAAAATCCTATTGATATCGGACCGCTATATCATATAGCTGAATGATCGGTCGAAAATTAAGTTTTTGTATGAAAAAACATTTTCTTTTTCAAGATATCTTGACCAAACTCGGCATTTATTAGTTTTACTATGCTCCTCGTATATGTGCAAAATCCTATTAATATCGGACTGCTATATCATATAGCTGCCATAGGAATGATCGGTCGAAAATTAAGTTTTTGGATGAAAAAACATTTTGTTTTTCAAGATATCTTGACCAAACTCGGCATTTATTAGTTTTACTATGCTCCTCATATATATGCAAAATCCTATTAAGATCGGACCACTATATCATATAGCTGCCATAGGAAAGGTCGGTCGAAAATTAAGTTTTTGTATGAAAAAACATTTTGTTTTTCAAGATATCTTGACCAAACTCGGCATTTATTAGTTTTACTATGCTCCTCATATATATGCAAAATCCTATTAAGATCGGACCACTATATCATATAGCTGCCATAGGATCGATCGGTCGAAAATAAAGTTTTTGTATAAAAAAAACATTTTGTTTTTCAAGATATCTTGACCAAACTCGGCATTTATTAGTTTTACTTTACTCCTCATATATGTGCAAAATCCTATTAATATCGGACCGCTATATCATATAGCTGAATGATCGGTCGAAAATTAAGTTTTTGTATGAAAAAACATTTTGTTTTTCAAGATATCTTGACCAAACTCGGCACTTATTAGTTTTACTTTACTCCTCATATATATGCAAAATCCTATTAAGATCGGACCACTATATCATATAGCTGCCATAGGAAAGGTCGGTCGAAAATTAAGTTTTTGTATGAAAAAACATTTTATTTATCAAGATATCTTGACCAAACTCGGCATTTACTACATTACATTTAGCTACGTTATTACAGTAGAGACCCATTATAGTATACCATAAAAATTCACAAATTTAAATTGCGGCAAGTCAATCCAGCATACCTTGTTGGCTGTGTGATAATGTCGTGCATTTTAAGTGTGCGGGCTATAATGGAGGTTGCTATTGCCAAACGAAATGGTTTGCACTATAGTTGTGACTAGTGTATGGTGATTGATGGCGAAATGCGTGCGTTTATGCGTCAGACCAGTCTGATTGTTGGTTTTCGCAAACTTAACGATCAGCTCACAGCCCTGGACACCCAATTAATAATTTAATAACTGTTGGATGAGTCTCCTGGGTCTAAAAAGCCCACTCCTTGTGATTTCACGTTGCCTAACACTCTTTAGCCTCCGACTGCAATTCAGCAGTAGCTATGAGGTCTTCTGTGGACATTCTGATTCTGTCCCGCTAAGTGTGACATCGGCACGAGAATTACCAGTTGAGTTATCCGTGTCGTCCGCTGTCGTAGGTGTTCCGAATGGGCAACAGCAACAATTAATTTTACAACAGCTGCTAGAAGGCTCCTCGTCTGGACTACCGGCTGTCTTAGGTACCATATTTAATAGTGTTTCCACCGAAGAGAAATATTTTAATTTTTTGGCTTGCCACTCACTTCTCATCAGATGATGTGAACGCATTTATTCAGGTAAAATTTCAAGCCCCAGGAGAATTTGAAGTCTCTTATTAAAGGGATATTGCGTCCTTTAAAATAAGTGTTCCGCCCGAAATATTTACTGATATTTGTTGTAAAGACTTTTACCCGAAGCATTTGATAGTAAAAGAATATAAGGCCCAAAGAAAAATCGGGTTCCGAGTTTATTACCACCTATTTCTAATGGCGCAAAAACTTCAGTTGATGCGTCAAAAAACGAATATCTTCTTTCGAGCTTGCCTACCAGAATGTTAGAGGTCTTAAATCTAAACTTGCTAACCTGTATTGAGACTCTTTAGTTTTTAATTATCAAATTATCGCCTTCACTGAGACCTGGCTGAAGCCGGACATCTCAGACTCTTCAATTTTTACCTCCAAATACACCACTTACATGTGTGATC